GTGCTGCACACTTGCCTCAGGGACACCAAACGGGGTGAACCAAGCAGTCTTAATTCAGACAGAAAGGAGTAACTTTGCTTTGAAGAGCAAAAGGTGGGTGCTCAGCGCATTGATCAGAACCTCAATAGACTGGTTTAAGTCCCCATTCTGAATCAGGCTAGCACAAAATATACTTGGATAAAATTCATATTAGCTCTTTGTCTGCCCACAAGCTCTGGGTAAATGGCACCACCGGGGTGTCATGAACCTGACGGCGAAGCAGACAGAGAGGAGATGAAACTCGGAGACGCCTGAACCTGCTAGAAGGAGAGATGTGGAGAGGCCATCCTGCCACTGCTCCCTGCTTTCTGTGCTCAGCCAGCCTGAACAACTGGCTCTGCAGTGACGCCGTGGCACTGGCTGCACAGAGCCCTTCAGGTGTAAGGTATCGGGCAACGTACGCACACAGCTTTTGGTGAAAGTCCTGTGAGGGATACGGTGAGCCATGGCAGAAGCAAGCTGTGGCCAGAACATTAGGCCAGAACCTGGGCCTCTCCTGTACGGTGATTTCTGCGTAAAGGTAACAGAGCAGCTTTACACACCACCCTCCCCTTGCCAACTGTGCTTGGAGGTGGATCCTTCCTGCTTGTTTTTCAGCTCAGCCGGGCGCTTTCATAGTCACAACCTCTGCCTGGCTCCCCTGTGCCACTTCAGAAACTCCTCCTGCCAGCTCCGGGCCCGGCAGGCTCCCCGCTGCCCGCGCCTTCCCTCTCACCAGTGTGCTCCGTTGGCTGAAGGACAACCTGTCTTTTTATTTATATTTAACAAAGATGGAGAAGTTTGGTACCTGCGTCAAGCAACGAAACCCACAGCCTTCACTCTGACCGGCCCCAGCTCCCTCAGAAGGCAAAGGGTGTAACAGCCCTTCGCATCGCAACGACACAGGTGATCCGGCGGCTGCGGCTCAGGGCCAGCAATTAAGTGCTGATGAAAGTGATGGCGTATAAAACCCTCACCACTGACAACAAAAATAAAACAAGCCAGAGCAATTACTGTCACTGCTGGTTTAGTCTGTTCTTCCTGCGGAAAATAAATCTTTAACTCTTCCGACACCACCCAAAATAGCTCGGTAATTGGTGCCGTTCTCCCCGCCCCCTACAGCTGAGGTGCCGGGGTGGATTTAGAGCTACTTGACGATAATTTAGGAACACGGTGTATGGGCATGGTTGGGACGATGTTCAGTGTATCAATACATTGCATTAAACAGAAGATAGTCTAGATTAAAAAACAATAAACAAAAGGTAATAGGCAGCATTTTGGGAGACAAGGCAGAGATCAGGGTAACGCCAGCACTGTCCCTGTGGCCTACACCTGCAGTGTCCCTGTATGAGGGGTGTGATACTGTGCTGGTTTGGGCTGGGGTAGAGTTCATTTTCTTCACAGCAGCTGGAATGGGGCTGTTTTGGATTTGTGCTGGAAACAGTG